GAAATGAGAATAGAAGTCACTGTTCCCTACAGCCTTTCAATCTCCAGGTGCTATTATCTATTCATGTCTAAGCTTAGAGTATTATTTTGTTTTCACATTAGCTTTACACAGCACAACATTAATCTCAGAATCTACCCTTCCAAGTATTACATAAGGTGACGATTTATAGAAAAACGACAACAAAAAATATCCTTTCCTGTTCACAAGCTTGGGTTCCTTAGCTCACAGAGCCACGTTTAAGGGTGCTTTGTTTCAGAAGATGATTAGAGTGGTGCCCTGGGTACTGATTATAGTGGAGCTATTTGTACTGCCTGAGTCTAGGCACTGCATTATATTAAAACTTCCATTTTGGGGTATGTAGTGACTAAAAATTCTCTCCTAGCTTAAACTTGGCACCAACCATCAATCTCAGCAGAAGCAAGATTATTGACTACAGAACCACAGGAACCCAGCATTTTTCTTCTTTTATATTTATACAGGAAAGAAAGAGACTCAGCTGTAGCACCTATGGTTTCTCCATTCTTACAGGGAAATTTCAAACATTGTGGGTGCCTTCCCAAAGTCTAATAAGTGGGATGCTATGACTGGATTAAATTAAATCAGATGTGACAGGCCATTGTCTCTTGCATTAATAGATCCCAAACTTTGTAGAAGAGGAATGAAATCATTTCAGCTTCTTTTTAGCAGAGGCAGAAAATGATGAAGCCCTTTCAGTTCCAGAAAATATATAGCACTTGTGACTCTGGTTTCTCTAGACTCCTTCCATGTCCAACAGTTCACCATCTAGAACTGAATTTATCTAGTGCATGTCTCTGACATGGTGATGATTAAGAGTTCAGTTCTACAAAAGCCACTAAGCACGGGCTGCACGCAAAAGATGGCCGGTCCATGCAGTCGAGGGAGGAGCGAGGCAAAAAAGTGAGGATGAGTTGATCGAAATTTGTCACAACTCAAGGCACAAGCTCATGCTGGGGCAGTTCATCACCACCATCTCTAACATAGGCCTGTGGTACTGACGCGTCCTTATTTTATCCATTCTTAGGAGAGCCATGATTTATGGGTTTAAAAACTCAAGTTAACTAGGTATAGTTAATTACATATCATTTTTTAAAACTTTTAACCACTTTACTCATATATGGCAACAAAGGGGCAGTGTGCACATGGTCTTACATTTCTCAAAGTTCCAAAAAAATATAAATTTCTGAATATTCATTTTATTGGGCATCTACTATTTACCTGGCACTGTGCTAAGTGTTTTACATGCATTATTATATTTAACCCTTAAATAGGACTTTCAAGTTCATACTGTTATTGTCCCTATTTTACAGAAGAGGAAACTGTGTTGTGAGAGTTTAAGTTATTTGCCTAAGATCCAACGACTTGTAAATGACAGAGGCAATTACAGCTAGTAAGGTAGTACTGAGATACACACACACACACACACACACACACATATATATATACTCATATATAAATATATATATATATTTTTTCCACGTTAAAAAAAAGGTGAAGAATATGCTCCTGGTTGTTCTAGAGACAGAACATGGAATCAGAACCAGGTGGGTCTGTAACTGTGGTCACTTGAACAGGAGTTCTCAACCTCTTCTTGGATGGAAAGTGTTTAAATGATCTCTTTGCTCAGCCAATCACTTAGCTATCCCCATGCTGTCCCTCCTGCTTAGGGAAAGAATAACAAAAGTTCAAGACTTCAATAGAAGTCTAACATAATTTTGATAAGAAAAGAAAAGAAACCAAACTTTATATACAGTGCTCATGATTTTGGAATAATGATCTCATGGCAAGGAGGATAAAGTTTTGAAGTAGGTTGGAAGATGGTGAGGGTAATTTTTTATACTTTAAATACTTAAATACAATGAATTACATAGAAGTTTGGCTAGACAGTTTCAGAGACCTGGCCCAGGTGGGCTAAAATTCAAAAGGAAAAAAAAAAAGCAAACTGGTCATCTCACAATTTCCCATTGTCAAAACTACCCTCCCATAAGTCTGAATCAAGTCCCAGAAGTATGTCAATACTGGTTGTTTCAGATTAGGTTTATGATATAGTGACAGAACCCTGAGGGGGCAAATATGCTTAAAATATATCCAAGCACGTTTAGGTCAAGTCAGTAATAGTATTTAATGCTAATAAAAGCGTGGCATATTCTCGTGTCTGAGAATCCAGCACACTGGATACTGTTATGTGTAAGCAGGGCTCTTTCCCCCCTGCTGGCAGACCCTAGTCACTAAAACACCATGAGCTTCTTTGACTGAGACGGTATCACACATCCCTAGCAAGTATCTCTGGGGCTGCAAAGCAGTTAAGATCCAACTCGAGGAGAAATTGGGAAGAGTCATGAATTAAAATTTTTCATTATTGCAAAACCCATCTCATCCCCCAAAGTGTTGCCTGGGTGCCGACTCTCTTAAAGACCTCTGCAAAATCTTGATTCTTCAAAAATTCAGCCCATTCGGAGCCGAGACAAGGTGAGGTCAACGACTGATATTATCACCCAACCATTAATCTAACTGGGTTTGGTTCGTTTCTAGCCTCGTGGGGGCCGAGCCTCACCACGAGGGTGAAGACAGGAGGCATGGAGGAAGGGAATGAAGGAGAGAAAAGGAGAAAGGAGGAAGACCTCCGGGCCACACTTCTTTCTAGTATCAACAAAAAGAGAAGCCGCATACTGACCTAAATCATCTCTCAAAGGCGCTTTATAAATTACAGGGACAAAGGGAGGGGGTGGCGAGTGGCCTGGGAATCCTACAGACACCCTCCCCTCTGACCCGCCCCCCTCCCCCTCCAGCACAAGGGAAGGAGGATAGAAAGCAGAGCTCAACTCGGCCATTGGCGAGAAGCCCCCCCTCCAGTTTTCGATTGCCCATCCCTCGGCCCCCTAGAAAAACACACACGTAAACACCATACCCATCCCCTGGGGCGGACACTCCTGCCCCGAGGTTCCTAGAACCGGAGGCCGGGCATTTACTTACTTAGATTTTTCTTGCTTACTCATTTCCCTCGAGCACCCAACCCCCCGTTCCCACTCCAAAACCCCGCTCAACCGCCTACCCTCACGGCTCCAACCCCCAACAGAATCCGGTGCCCCCGCGGCGGCGGCGGCCCCCGAGCCGTCCCGGTCACTAACCTGCTGCTGTAAGGGCATTTCCGAAACCAGCCTGGCTCCGGGGGGAGGTGGGGGGGGCCGGCTGGAGAGGGGGCCCGGAGGGCCGAACGGACCGGCGGCGCCGGGCGAGGGCGGGCGCCCGTGGAGGGGGTTGGGGAGAGGAGAGGGAGGGTGGCCGCTCCGGGGGCGGGTGCGAGGGCGCCGGGACCGTCCCAGGCCAGGGAGCCGGCGAGCAGGAGGAAGTGGGTGCCCCCTCTCCCCCTCCAGCGCCCCCTCCCGCCGCCGCCTCCTCCCCAGTCACAGGCGCGTCCTCCGCGCACGTGTGCGAAACGTCACCGGCGGGTCCCGGGGAGAGGGACAGACCCAGGCGGCGGGACGGGAACGCGGCTGCCCCCGCCCTCCGTCGCCGGAGGGCGGAGAGGGGGACAGGGCGGGGAAGGAAGGGGCAAGGGGAGAGGCGGGTCAAGGGCAGGCCCGGGGCCCGGCGAGGCAGGCCCAGGCGCTCGGGCCACGCGGGCGCCGCCGCTGCCACCACCGGGATGCGCGCAGGCCGGGGTGCCCGCCCGCTAGCCCCTCACCCCCAGACGGCCCCCGCCCCGGCCTGCAGCCGGCTTCCAGCTCCACCTCCCCCCTCGGCTTCCCCCAGCCCCTTTGTTGCCGGGAGTTACAGATCCCAAAATGTGTCAAGCGCAGCCTGGCAGAGCCCCTGCACTCCGAGCACGCTTTAGGGACCCCCGGCTGCCAACGCGCCTCCGAGGCCGGCGAGCGGCCATCACCCCCAGGGCCCCCCGGTTTCCACCCCCCTGGAGTCTCCCACTCCCCAGTTCACTACTCCCTCCCCCACCCCCTTCTCCATCCGGGGCGTGACCCCTTCCTACGCCCGAGAAAGAGGAAGCTTCGAGTTGGAGAGGAGGGGAGAGTGGGGGTAGGGAAAAGTGCAGGAAAGGAAGGGGGGGCCGCGAAAAGTTTCGGAGTGTTTGATGTGGTTCGCGCCATGGCGATCCCCGCTGTCCCGCTTGCCCGGCGGAGCCCCCCAGACCCTTCGGGTGTTCGGGGGGAACACACAAGTCTAACAATAAACTCTGTTGGACGGGCAGGGCGGCCCGCAGCGCGCCCACCACCCCGCGCGGTGCGAGCCCACCTCCCGCCCGGGCTGGGGACGGTGGGAACGGGAGGGCATTACCGGAGGGCCGCCGCCGCCGCCGCCGCCGCCGCCGCGTCCCAGCGTTGGTGGCTGCTGCAGCAGCCCGGCTCTGCTGGAGGGTCCGTGCGGCGTGGTGTAGAGGAGGCTGCCGGCGGTCTGCTCCACGCCGGGGGCACTGGGGAGGAGGGGGCCGGCGGCGACGGCGCCGCTTTGGAGGGAGGAGGAACAGGAGGTGGTGGAAGTGTTCGTGGTGAGGATCTGGATGTACGCGCTCGGGGCGGCGGCAGCAGCGGCGGAGGCGGCGGCGGCGGGGAAGCCGGGGCTGGCTAGCAGTGCCCTTTTGTCCATGGAGGCTGCAGCGGCGGCGGCGACGACAGCCGCCCCCTCCCCACCCCCGGCGGTCACCAGGTACTGGTCCAGGGCGGGCTGGATCCCCTTTCTCATCTCTCGCTCCTGCTCTTTTTATTGCTATGGTATATTAACGTATTGTTTTCAATTTCTTTATTATTTGCAGTCGGAGTTTCCAAGTCTCTCCTTCTCTCCTCCCCGCCCGGCGCTTCCGAGCCCCTTCTCTCCCTTTTCTTTTTATTTTTCCGCACCGCCCGGGCCCCGGGGGCCAAAAATAATCGGGGCTCTGGAGAGAGGAGGGTCCCGGGCGCACGGATATCGGGCCCCGAGGGGTGATGGAGGCGTCGGGGGCGGCCGATGCAATGGATTGCGAGGCGGCGGCGGCAGCACGGGTGCTGCGGCCGGCAGCTGAAAAATGGCTCCAGGAAGCTGCTGCTGACAATGAATGAAGGGATACGGTTTACGCGCCAAGGTCCTCCCGCGAAACTCAGATTTCCCGCCGGCTTTTCAAACCATATTTGCATATCCCCGCCCCTCAACCCGCCGAGGACCGTTCCCACAGCCCATTGGGCCTCTGTCTCCTTCCTTCCTTCCCAATCATGGAGCAGGGTCGCAACTTGCCGGTTTCCATTGGCTGCCGTGCATCATGGTTGCCGGGGCGACAGGAGCCCTATTTGCATATGCTTCCTTGATTGGCTGGGAGGGAGTAGGGGTTTTAGGAGCTGGGGGTAAAGTCCGCCTTCTCTCCCACGGAAGACCACGCCTGGTTCAGGCTCCGCCCCCGTCCCCGCCCACCAGCCGGGCGGGCACTGCTGACCTGGGCAGGGACTCCGCGCCCCGCAGACTCAGTGTGGATATAACCTAGAGCGCAAGTTTCGCTTTTGTAAATTGTCAAGGTGACTAAAGGGGACACTCTCGGGAACTCTCTTCCGTTTGACCAGTCAGTGTAATAGATGAACAACAGCGAGAGATTCTCCCAAGTATGTGCCAAAGGCAAGCTGGACCTTGCGAACGACGCCTGGCAGGTGGAAACCGAGCCCTTTAAATCGTGGGTTTCTCTCTTCCTGAAATCCGACCAATGCCGCGGCGAGAGCTGATCCCGAGGCCGAGGCTGATGGACAGAAGCATGTGGGCCGACAGAATCGTGGGGGCAGACGGTTCGACTGACGTGATTGCGGGCACCATTTAGTTACCATTCCAGATCATTACCGGTAGCTTCATTATTAGCCTGGATGGGGTTTAAGTAAAAATTAACTCCGAATGTTTTGCCGAGTGAAATCTTACCACAAGAACTGGTTTGAGTCCAGCAGACACCCCCAAAACCCTACCCACTGGCCCAGAAGCACCCAGGGCAGTTAATCTGGGTTAACCTAGGACTGATTTGCATGTTTCTAATCCGCCAAACAGTAATCCGAAGAAGTACGTGCTTCCCACGGATGACGTCTTGCTCCTAACAAACGCTGCACGCTGGCCACGAGCACTTTACAATTTCGGTATCCTACCAAGTTCTCTGACACGATGACCCAAACCTATTCCAAAATGTTTAAAAGAATTTTTTTAAGTAAACTAGAAATTGCCACCAGAAAAATATTAAATTATTGTCAAATTGACTTCTGTGTTGGTGCAAGTGTTCACGGGTCTTAAAATGGGTCTTAAAATTGAAGATTGCGCCTGTGAGACTGAGCAGGAAAAGGGACCCCGGCAGGTTGTGGGAAAAGGTGTACCTAGGTCAGGTCAACATTTACAGTTCCGGTCACTGAGAACTGCACAAAATAGCTGCTGATCTGGTGCTCACTGGGTGATGAGCATTGCAATACCTCAAGCCCTTTTGCAAGACTTTTATTATTATTATTATTAATTTTCAAAACTCATATGCTCAGTCTTCTGAAAGGCCTGACAAGATATGTCAGTTCAGGCTAGGAGTCCTTACTACTTTAGTAGTTACCTGAAATAGGGTGAACTCAAAGTACTGTTACACCTTGCACCAGGCTCAGGAATATTTTGGTCTTGCACTCAAGCTAATTGAGGATCCAAGGCCCAGTAGCCAAACATTTACTGACATAAATGATATGTGTCATCAAACTGACACTATCTTTAGGGCAGATTAGGTGGTATTCAAGGGGTATCAATTGCTGGTTGGGCTAGAAGCATAAGGTATTAGCAACTTCCTTGACCTTGTTCCATCAAAGTTACTTTCCACTGTGGGTCACTATGGAGGAAACTTGTACTGTAACTACTTGGATATCACCAGCTATAGAACGTCACTGGCAGCATGCATTTGGTGACTCGTGGGGAATGTGGGAGGAGGGAATGGTGCAACATGCACAGTCATTATAAGACCTGAATTTTAAGATTAGAGACAAGCCTAGGACCTGGGACTGTGCACAGGATCTCTTCTTGAACTCACACTTCTCTTCACTGGTCGCAGTAAGATGGATATAACACAGTCACAAGGGAGCAAGTGTTCACCATCTAGATTCACACCTGTTCTGGTTTAGAAAGCTTTGAAATATTTACCATTCTACCTTAGCCAAGTTATAATTTTTAATGTAGGGTATTCGATAGAGAAACAGATGTTTTGACATTGTATGCCTAGTGAACCACAGGATGGGGTGGGAAGGGTTCAAAGAGAGAAGAGGAGGTGTTAGAAGTTAAGATGCTAAAATTTGGAGCAGGCTATTAATTTGTGGAGAGGTAGCATGTTTTAGAAGAAAGAAAATGGGCTTTGGAGCCAGAGTGATCTGGTTTAAATTCTAGCTCTGCCACTTATTGGCTATATAACTTTAATCTTTAAAATCCTGTGTTCTTGTATGTTCAATGGGAACCCATATTGTAGTACCGGTATTGCAAGATTATGATGAAAAGAGGCAATAATAATGGCACTTTACCAGGTATACAGCAAGTGCCCAATAAGTGGTAGGTATTTATGATTCTACTTGTTTGTGTGATTGTGCTTTGCAGCTCTTTGTAGTCCAAGCTGACTCCCAGCCTCTAATCTTCATACTGCCCCAGATGTCCACTTACTGTGGCAGCTTTGCTTTGTCACAGGGTAGGAGCACAATCGTGTCTGGGTTAGTAGGGATTATAGAATCCTGACTCAGAAGTCCAAGGTAATAAAGTCAGCTCTGCTGCTCATCCTACTCTAACCTGCTCGTCTGTTCATAGGCAGCTTCTGGTTGGTTACTTAGTTTGAGTCCCGAAGACCTTCCCGCAAAGGTCAGACTGCTCTAGCACTAGAGCCAGACTATTCTTGCCAATCACCGCCACCCTTTCCCTTGCTCTGACAGTGACCCAAGGCAGCTAATTGTCCCAGAATCGGCCTGTGTTGTTTGAATGGTGCCCGTCCCCCCAAAACATGTCTTTGTCCTAATCTCTAGAACCTGTGGTTGTGACCTTATTTGGAAAAAGTGTCTTTGCAGGTGTAATTAAGTTAAGAATCTTGAAATGAGATCATTCTGGGTTATCTGGATGGACCCTAAATCTAATGACAAATGTTCTCATAAGAGACACCTAGGGGCTTCCCTGGTGGCACAGTGCTTAAGAATCCACCTGCCAGTGCAGGGGATACGGGTTTGAGCCCTGGTCCGGGAAGATCCCACATGCTGTGGAGCAACTAAGCCCGTGCGCCACAACTACTGAGCCTGCGCTCTAGAGCCCATGAGCCACAACTACTGAAGCCCCGCGCGCCTAGAGCCCACGATCCACAACTAGAGAAGCCACTGCAATGAGAAGCCCGCGCACCACAATGAAGAGTGGCCCCAGCTCGCCGCAACTAGAGAAAGCCCACGCACAGCGACGAAGACCCAACGCAGCCAAAATTAAATAAATAAAATAAATAAATTTATAAAAAAGAAAGAAAGAAACACAAAGCCTCGTGCTCCTCTCTGAATTAAGAAAAAAAAAAGGAGAGAGACACCCAGAAGACAGACATACAGAGAGGAGGATATAGCCATGTGGAGACATGAAGACAGAGGTGGAGGTTAGGATGAGCAGCAGAAGACAAGGAATGCCAACAGCCACCGGAAGCTGCAGGAAGCAAGGAACAGAATCTCCCCTAGAGCCTCTGGAGGAAGCGGAACCCTGCCAACACTTTCCTTTCAGACTTCTGGCCACTAGACCTCTGATAGAATAAATTTCTGTTGTTTTCAGCTCCCCAGTGTGTGATCATTTATTATGGCAGCTCTGAGAAAAGAATGCAGTCTGTTAGCCTGCCTACCTGCACCTCAGACCTCTTAGCTGCTACTTACTTGTTTTGGATTGCTGCCAAGATATGATTCCTTACTGGACATCGATGAAACTTATTGCCAGCTTGTTGAAGATTCTTCAAAGCATCACTTCTTGACCACCCAGTGCAGACTCACCCAAGGAGCTTATAAAAGTGCAGATTCGCAACCAATCAGAATCCCTGTGGCAGGACCCAAGAAGCTCATTTAACAAGTCCCTCCAGGTAATTCCTTTATGCTCTAGAGATTGAGGGCCACAGTCAGCTGTATGACGTTGGACTTCCGCTCATTATATCCCATTGCTACAGCTAGCGTTGCCACCCCTCTGTCTAATAACTTGATGGGTGTTTCCAATCCCCTACTACCCCTTCTCACCCTGCTTGTTACCATAACAAGCTCTGAATTTTTATTCACACACACACATATACATATGCACATATATACACTTATATATGTACATTATACATACTATAGATATGAAATTTGGCATTACAATTTTCTCTAAAAGCCTTCATTTTCCATTTTGGATACAGTTTTGCCAACATCCATAAGATCTATGTAAATAATTCCCAAGAAACAATACTATTAAACAGTTTTTTGGGGAATTCAGTATCTTCAGATGGAAATATTATAGGTTTCTGAGATTAAGGAAACTGTTCACAAGCCCAGAAAATCTTTGGAACATCTGAAGTTTAAATTGTGCCTCTAATTTAGTTTAGCCAAATCTGGTTGTCACATTGGATTGAGAGTGTAAAGTTTTAAGTTTTAGGGTCTGGAAAAAACTAGTCTAAGTCTTCTCTATTGCAATTCAGTTAGTTGCCCACATAGAAATAACATTCTCTGTTTTATTTTCCTGGTTAGGAAGAAAGAGGAGTATGCCCTTAAGCCATTACCACATCAAACACTAATAACAAAATTTCTAGGTGCTCATCCTAGAAA